ATGCATTTCAGCTCACTCATAGTCACAATCAAATGACACATATCTTCCTACAGCTTACAATCAGAGAATTACAATAAATTACTAAATATAAGAGATTAACAAAATGTAAGTGTATTTTAACGCTAAGGTAACGAAGAGTTTCAGTTCCATATATATGTGGGTTTGTGTAGATGATTAGCCCTGTTCACTCCCCTCTTCCTTTTGGGCAACTTAATCTTCACTCACTTCTATAACTAAACTCCTTCCATGTCCCCCACATATATGAAAGCACCATTTCCTTCTTTGATTTGGATTACTGCTGCTGCCAATGGAGGAAAGTGTAGTTTTTTTATACTTATTTTGAACTTCAGGGTTTATGCTGCCAGTGTAAGCTCATACTTTCTTCAGCGTTTTGTAAGTAGAGTTTAGAAAGTAGTCGAGGGTAAGGCTAGGGTTTATTCATCTTGGGATATTCAATCAATGTCCACTTCATCAAGAACTAAATTAACTTCAGGAAAAGTAAGTCGCACCACTCAAATTTGCAGCTAAGCCGTAAGAGACGGATATAAGATTCAAACTTTGAGATTTTCAGTGTTAAAATACAAGTTATTTAGATAGAAATAGAACGCGATGCGCATAAAAGATTCAAACTTTGGAAAGTTTCTGTGTTAAAGTACAAATTTTTTTAGATAAAAACAGAACGAAACGCACTAAAAAACTTCAGTTTATTAACTAAAGCATTTCATGGAACCATTGGTAGACTTGTTATTGTTAATCAAATCATATTATGTACCTATCAACAAATATCAATATATACCGAAATAATCTGATAAACGACCTGAAGTTCCAGAAAAATTAGCACGTTCACATTCTTTATGGAAACAAGCAGCAAATTGATTTCATTCTTTTCCCTATGAAAATCAGAAAATGTAATTAAAAAAAGAAAGAAATTGTGAGCAAAAACTGGCTGTAATTAAGCAACGTAGCCATAACAAAAACCACCCGCAGTTAAGTAGGTCCCACAAACTACAAAGCCCGTGTGTCACCAACGTCATCCACAGATATCCTGTCGGCCAATCATAACCAGCCACGCCGGAGCTTCACAAACACCATCCCCCGCTCCTAAACAACCACGTCACCGTAGTTATATGCAACACGGGATTCTACGACCTACGTGTGTACTTGTCAGCCGTCGATGTTCGAAAACCAGCCAAGTCCCGACCGTCGATTCTGTGGAATAATAATTTGTGGACACCGTTTTCCCCGCACATACGTTGTCCCTATTAAAGCTTCGAACTTTTACGTCCGGAAAAAATTCTCGAACTTTCTTAAACTCTTACTCCCGAGATTCTCCGAAGTTCTTGTCATCGGATCAGTCGAGCATTGTTTCTGCAAAAGAGGTACGATTCTCTGCAACTCATCTCTCCATAGCAGTTGGGTTGTATTTGTTTCCCGAGAAAGTTATCTGTAAAGAATTGTGCTACACGATCAGTAATGTTCTGAATTTTTAGATGTCAAATTTCGCTTTTTTTTTTTTTTTCCATTGAGGCAGAATTATTTTATTGCTCTGCTGATAATTTACATGCTTCTTAGTTCCTAATTTCTAATCTTCTATAAATTTTAGAAGTGAGCCTTGACGCAACAAAAATATTAAATTTTTGTGACCGGAAAGTCACATGGAAACAACCTCTTTGCAAAGTAAAGATAAAAATGTGTATAATAAATGTACTCTTAATCCTTGCAAAGCAGGATGAAGCCTTGTTGGCTCAGGATCGCCTTTTTATAAATTTTGGGGGCGTTAAATTTGAATCATACAGAATCAATGGGGTTTGAGATTTTGGATTGGTGAAGGCAAATCAGATTGCTTTGGTTCATGTGTAGTTTTATTTTGATCATAACTTATAAGCTTCGGAATTTAGAGAGATCAAAAATGGTAGACGTGTGTGTAGTCACATTGGATAGAGTGCAAATGAACCCCTTTTTATGCACATGTGTTCGAATTTCCCTCCCCGCACTATAGGTTAACTTGAAGTAGAATATCGCTTCTATAAATGATATGGAGAATTTGAGATAATTTTGCATATTTGTACATTTTGAAATAATTATATATGTGCGTTTGTGCTAGACAGGGGAAGAGCTTAAAAATATGGCTGCATTTCTTTATGTGTGGTTGCAGAATTTGTGCACAAATAAAGCTCTTTCACTCATCGCTTGGACTACTTCTGAGGGAACTTGGCATGGGAGTTGTGACAGTTTCAACCTCAGCGGCAAGGACTCCGTTAGGATTGAGCACAAAATCGACGAGTCAGAGATCTCCATTCAGAAAGCCGTGGATAATTGCGTTTAAAACAGATGAATCCAATAAGACGGCATTGGTTGCACCCCAGGGGAACATACCTTTGCCTATAGAAACACGAAAGAAGCTCCAAAAGAGAATAGGGAAAGCTAGAAAACTCGCGAAAAGTGTGAAATATACTGCTACTGATGTAGCTGCTCCGTGTACTACTTTGGAAGTGGATTACAATGAAGCCGCTGCCAAGCTGGAAAACTTGTACAAGCGTAGCCCTGAGATTGAAGCTGATGTGGATGTGGAAGATGCAGATGGCTTGCTGAGGAGGGGTCGCAAAAGGAGGAAGAAGACTAGCGAAAGCGATCATGAGAAAGAAGAGAAGAGAACAAGTGATATTGTGGTTAGAAGCAAGACAAAGAAGGCGAAAAGATTGAATCTTGATAAAAGGGTTGCATTGAAATGGAACAAGGACGAGAAAGTGGTTTCTTCAGTTCAAAAGAGGAAAGATCAAAAGAACGAAACAGAGAAGATTGAGGAGCTGGTTAGGGAGTATTCGGCTTCAACTGATCTGGTCAGTTTGGACTGGAAAAAGATGAAGATTCCTCCGGTTCTCACTTCTTCAGAGCATGCTTGGTTGTTCAAGCTAATGCAACCTATGAAGGTGAGCCTTCTCAAATTTCCGTTTTCTGGCTGTAGTCTTGAAAATTGTCTTGTGTTTTCGGAATTGTTCCCGTGTTGTGTTGTGTGGGATGTATTTTGCTGTGAAATAATTATGTTTGTCATGTTCCAGGGTCTCCATGAAGTGAGAGAGCAATTACAAAAAGATTTGGGGACAGAACCAACCAACGGCGAATTGGCTGAGGCGACAAACATGAGTGTGGTTCAAGTGAAAAAACATTTTGAAGTTGGTCGAGCTGCACGAAACAAGCTCATCAAGGCAAGCATTTTCTGCCTTAAGTCTTGCATCAAATTAATTAAACAGTTGTGGTTTTGAATGTGAAACAGAGAAATTAACTGGTAATGCTGATGGTTCTTGCAGCACAATCTCCGACTTGTGTTATTCGTCATTAATAAATATTTTCAAGACTTTGCAAATGGTCCAAAATTTCAAGACCTGTGCCAGGCAGGAGTAAGGGGGCTTATTACGGCAATTGATCGCTTTGAACCAAAAAGAAGTTTTCGGCTTTCCACATATGGTCTGTTCTGGATCAGGCATGCCATCATACGTTCCATGACAGTCTCAAGCTTTACTCGTGTTTCATTTGGCCTTGAGTCGGTAAGCATTTTTTGAACCTAAACTAGGTCAGGGATGTATGTTTTCAGAATAGTAGAATCGTTGACACGACACTCTTGACAACAATAAGTACAAAAGCATGGAAATTGGCGGTCTTAGTTTACATAGACAAGGGTTTTAGACTTCGTCTATAATGTTGGACTCTTTCAGTTTTTATGGTAGAAGAGGAAATGAATGGCAGCGTTATGTTTCTAGGAACTTTACTCGCTTAAGTGAATGGCAGCGTTACAGAATGCAAGTTGCAAGTAATGAAAACTTATGGTTTTCGCTGTTCTATTTATGCAGGTTAGGGCGGAAATTCAAAAGGCCAAGCTTGAGATGATGTTTTCGCTCAAAAGGATGCCAACTGACGAAGAGATAATCGAAAAAGTTGGAATTTCGCCAGAGAGGTACCATGAAGTAATGAGGGCCTCAAAACCCGTTTCCTCTCTTCATTCAAGGCATGCAACCACACAAGAGGAGTATATCAACGGTATTACTGACGTCGATGGTGTTGAAGGTGATAACCGGCGGAAACCTGCTCTTCTCAGGCTTGCTATTGATGATGTGGTACTTATTCTCTCCGTTGACCTCAGATTAATATGTCATTGCTTTCTCCACTTGAAAATTGATTGCTGGATAGACACAGGATTATTAAGCTTCATTTTTTTCAGTTAAGCTAACTGACTCGCGGAGTTGATTTGGTCTCGTACCTCTCAATTCGAGAGCTCTCAAAGTTTCGAGTGGCTAATCCTTTCTCTAAATATTCTCTCCCAGCTTGATTCCCTGAAGCCGAAAGAAAGCTTGGTGATCAGACAGAGATACGGGCTTGATGGTAAGGGGGATAGAACATTAGGAGAGATTGCTGGAAACTTAAATATTTCACGAGAAATGGTTCGAAAGCATGAAGTCAAGGCCCTCATGAAGCTCAAACATCCAGCTCGAGTAGATTATCTTCGCCGATACATAGTCTAAAGTGATCGACACATATGCATGTCGTCTTAGAAAGATCTTCCGCCTTTGGATTACTACTGATTGCCATTTCAATGTTGTATACTAGTCACATTTGTACCATAGAAGAAATTTTATAAAGGTCAGTAAAATAGAGATCATATACTGTCCAGTTCTACGGATGATATATATAGACTTCGAGATTCCATACATATACCCCGTGTATACATGAAATGTAATATTTTTCACCCCGTTGGTACGAGAATGTTCCATATAGGTACCAAATGTGTTTAGTACACTGAAACATACAATTATTATCCCGATTTACACATAAGTACGACATGTGGTGTTGTCGTGTTTGCTTTGCTTCGCTACTGTGTGAAATCTTGAAATTTACCTTGCCGAGTATTTACTTTTTTATTTTATTAGAGGTTATCTAGAGAGAGATGAACTGCAAGAACTGAATTACTGCACAAGAACAGAGAGCCAAAAAGGAAAAGAAAAAAAAAAACAATCAGAGGAAACTACTTAAATCCATTAAACATGCGACGAACAATTTTAGCGTCCTCTTTCTTATGCTGATTTCGTTTGTCAGCAAACGTATCACAATGCCTCATGATCCAAAACCTCTCTAGTTCTTCTGCTTTTCGACCTGGAATCCGACCGGCTATTAAATCCCACCTGAAACCAAGTACAGCCGTGAAGGCAGTTGTGATTTTTAGAGTACAATAATCCTTAGGAGCAGTAACTTTTATAAACCAGAGAGCAGAAAAGACAGCTTACAACTTCAGAGTGCGAGTACCAGACGTCTATTCTTTATTTATTCACTCGTTAGAAGGCGCTACTTTCTCAGATGGTGTGTGCGTTTATTTGGAACTGGAGCAAATTGCTGTGTGTTTTTAATGGTGCATGCAAAGTGCATTTGGTTTCTTACTTTCACTTTTTACAAAGTACCATGTGCGTGCATGCTTTATCGTGAGAGGGTTAGGAGAAATTCTTTAGTCCAGAGATCAGACCAGATGGCCATACGGCTTTCACGCACAAAATCATCCTAACTCTTCTCATTCTGATTTTTTCATGTTCATCCGGCCTCATTGTGTCCCCCCCTCTCTCTCACATAACACGGAAGGGCCCACCACCAACGAGGGTTGCACCCAAGACCTTCTCGGGGTTAAAATAGAAATGAAAAGATTGAGGTGGGAAAACTTACTATTACCATATGCTTATTAAATATTCAAAAACACAAAGTCATTCGTATTTTAATTATTCTATTACCATGTATTTATTAACACCTCACATCTTTATGAATACACCTCATATCTAAAATGTGTCTCTAAAATTCCAATTTTGTCCTCCATTATTCTGAAGCCACCCCATCCCCATAAACAAATGACGGCAAAAAGCTAGCTCGACGGCCACGGGCCACCCATATAAGAGGTATCCGTCATCGATATTAGCACAGCCAAAAACCCCCCACGTCGTGGAAGTTGACAGCCAAGACCGACTCTCTAACAGACCGAGAATTGCCCAACGCTCTTGATTCACACATCCCATCTCTCAATTCCCTATTACCTACCGGCGAGTGGCTGGTGATTGAATATATATATGGAGAGAGAGAGCATGGCGAGTGGCTAGGATTTTTTGCCTAGACACTGGTGGTTGGCAGCTGGCATAAGGGGGTGTATTTTGGACTTCCAAACTTGATTCGTCAGGGTAAAAACGGAAATTTAACTGCAAAAATAAAATTATGGGATGTATTCATAAGATTGTGTGGGTGTTAATAGACCCAAATCTTATCTTAACATAGTTTCTAAACATTTAAAACATTTACATTGGTATTCCTATGAGCCTAGCTATCTAATGATACCAGTTGGATTTTGGAGTGTCTCCTAACGTGCAAAATAAAATAAAATAAAAAAGGAGAAATTAGGTTTTCATCTTTTCTTTTGCTACTCCATTGATTAAAATACTATTCATTTTCAATTTTTGATCAAGGTCCTTGGGTATTAATAACATCACTAATTATTTCAATAATAAAATATTTTTTTATTTCTAAATATATTCATTTAATGTTACAAATGTTACAACTAGTATATTTATATTTATGACTAAATTTTTTATATTTTAATATTTTAATATTTTAATATTTTATATTTATATGTTACAATTAGTATATTTATACACACACAATAATATTTTTATATTTTAATATTTTTAATCCCACAAATTATGGTTTTTTTATTTAAAATCTCATTTATATAAACAACTAAAATTTCTAATTTTTAATTTAAAAAATATAGTAACGTACATAGAAATAAATTATCACATTAATTTCAGGGACCTTGATCAAAAATTAAAAACCAACAAGGTTTCAATCAAAGAATGTTCATAACTAAAGACCGCATCCAAAGTCTCAAAAAAAAAAAAAATTAGAAAGAAAAAAAAACATTTGGGTTTTGATTTGGAAAAAAAAAACAACATACCTGGGTCCAACGAGCCTATACATTCTATAGAGGATATCTTCTTCTTGTTCAGTCATGTTTATGAATTCCCATTCATTGCTAATAACCTCTGCCCAAATAAATATAGAAAATTAAGTTGACTAAAAACTCAGACTTGACTACTAAGTAAAAGTCTGTTGGCAAGGAACATAAAAATAGTGAAACTGAAACACACATAGACCTTCAGATTGATCACTAATGGTGATTCGGGGTCGCTTCCGACAACATCGGTCCATCGTCTGCGTTAATTCTTATACGATAAGAAGCAAGCAAATGTTTTGAAGGAGAAGGAAGGAGTGAATGAAGGTATGGGAGAAATGTAGTAGATAAATAGGGTTTGCACTTGGAAAGTTGGAATGAGCTAGAGAATGAGATCAGGAATGATAGAATATATATGTTATATATAATGCTAGGTTAAGGTGCCCAACAAACAACAAGAAAATGCGTTTATGTGAGAGTTTGCTTGTTTGTTGACTCGTAGGCCTTGCGGTTGTAGACTTATAGTTGACAACACAGAGAGCGCAGAAGGGAGGAAGAAAGTAAGGAAAGAAGATATGGCCATCGGCGAAAGCTATATCGATATATATTATATGGAAAGGGTCCTCTTCAAATTTCTTTTTCCTAATCTACCAAGTTCGATGATCCTGACTACTAAAATTTGATCCAACGGCTATAAATAAGGTTTCACTTTAAAAGTTATAATAACTTTAGCCGTTTGATAAAATTTCAATGGTTCAGATCTCTAGACTTAGTGGATTAGGAGGAAGGGATCCGGAAATGATCCATTTTCATATTATATTTATATGTCAGTAAGTTGCCTAGCTATAACAGCTTTATCCCCAAAAGGCTCGTCGTCTTTTAGCCTTTATCAGCATGGAATCCAACAGTATAGTACTTTATCTCAACGCCTTTTTCATCACATGGTATCTCTTACCAATCTCAGTCAAACTTAAAAATTTCGTCCAAAAATTGCACGGGAGGCTTATATGCGTAATAAAAATTGTCATCTTATCTGATCTAAAAATATTTCATGAGTAAATTTGCTCGTGTCTAAGCTTCACGTGAAAATTTTAAATTACTTTCGAACGAAAATTGTATGTTTGGTGAATGACTTTGATCCCCTATGCACGGGTGATCTGCATAATTTGACTTGTTTTAGAATAAAAAGGAGAGGGAGAAATGATAGGGAGCATTTACTAATATAACATGGGTCACAATTCTTGCTCCCTTGTTTCAAATAGGAATTTCAATGTTACGGGTGCATTCTACTTGCATCACCCATGATCTGACTTGTAAGTAGGGTTAGACACGGTTTGATTCAATCCTATTTTTCTTGAAATAAAAGAGTAATTATACAATCGGTTTAGTTCGATTCAATTTTGCATAAGATTGATCATATCCACCGAACCAAACCGCACTAATTCAAGAACATTTGGTTTGATTCGGTTAGTTGAGCTCTATTTGGTCTGATTCACTGGTTTCTGATTTAAATGCTCAACTTTACTTGCATTGCAATCATGACATGAAAGTTATATCCTGTAATGGATCATAGTAATCCATGATAAAGCCTCTTTTTTTTTTTTTTGTTTGACAAACAATAAGAAATCTATGTTAAACTATGGGAGAAAGATTCGAACATGGCCCTTGAGCGTTGACTCATTAATAAACTAGCCCTACATATCATCATATTGTTGCATTTTGCATAAATAGGCACTTCGAAGTCTTGGTACGAATGGTGGTCGTCATTTGAATAGTTCTTCTTCATTATGTTTGGGTCACATGCATGTATTGTACCATCTTCAATAATTCACTGTCCTACTGGAGAAGGGAATTATAACACAAAGGAATATTGTACCGAATGTTTACAAACTTACGTTATGACACTTGAGTAACAATCCAAAATTCTCCATTGAAATTCAAAATCCAAACATTAGCCAACGAGTAACAATCCAAACGTGATGTACCATCTTGTGTTCTGGTCGTATTGAAAAATCTCTCCCAAATACACGCGCCCTCCATGCAGGAAGCCACGTACCACTCCAATTCTGATGAGTTAACAGTTGTTCTCTTGACTCATTCTCCCACTCTCAACCCAGAAAACCAGAAGGAAGAACAAAACTGGAAAGTCCTTTTCATAACTTTATTAGTTCACAATAAACACAGAACATCATTCGTTTTTCTCAGTATATATTGTCGCACAATGGTGAAGCTGGCGTCGGCAAGGGAATTCCGAATGTACGGCCCGCGGCTGAGCCGGAACCGGGCCGAGTACATGAACGCGGGGCTCTACGTGTTTGCCACTGCGGTGCTGCTCGGCGGGTTCGTGGCTCAGCTGTCGAACGAACCCAAGTCAGGCCTAGTCCTGATGCTAATAGCCTTGGCTTTAATTTTGGTGGTGAATTTGCATGATCTGGTGGCACATCTTGCCATGTTCGATTACCGGATGCCATTGATGGAGTTCGATTTGCAGCTCGCCCTCGTCGAGTTTGCTGTCCCGGTGGTTCAGGCTTTGGGAACGGTTCTTTCGTTCCTGGGAATTCTTTTCCTCCTAATTCAGGTATTTGATCACACATTTGAATTGAATAAATGATACTTACGTAAATCATTGTTAGAGAACCCTATTTTCTAGAGGATCCATATGTGTTTCACTAATCGAGATAGTATACAAGATTGTTAATTGATTATTAATTGATGGAATGAAAATTTTACTTCCTTACACAAACCCAACTAATCAATATTGACCATGCCCTTTTCCTCTGTACAAATTCGTGCTTAATACGAACACCTACAAATGAGCCTAGGATAGTGAAAAATTACCATTCGAATGGTGCAATAGACCCTTGGAGTGGACTACACCATTCAATGGGCCAAAATCTACCACTCAATGGGGGCATGATGATCTAATGAGTGCCGTATTTTCAAGTGTTCGTATTGAGTACCTGTTCATCTACAATGGACAGACCCTTAATTATGTTGGATATATCTTGTGCACATTGCAATGTATTCATTTGTTTGTGACTTTGTGAGTGCTACGTATTCATTTGTTTGCGACTTTGTGAGTGCTACGTATTGTCCCAAATTTAGGCGGAGAAAGGATATGGATACTCTAAGCTTGAGAGGCATGCGAAGAACATGCTCATTGCTGGTCCTGTTTTGTGGCTGCTCGGATCGATCCACAATTCATGCCAAATCTACGAGAGGGCAGACGGGCATGTCCAAATACTGCAACAAAGTGTCCACATCCCTTTTCTGATTGGGAGTGTCTTGTTCACAGTTGGTGCAATTCTCAACAGCCGTGAGCAACATGGATTGTTCCTTCATGGCCTACAGCTACTGGTCATTAGTCCTTACTCCTTAACTTTATTAAGTTCGTATAATTGTGATTATCATAAATTGTTTACAAAATTAATTTTATTGGCTAATATGTGCAGGGTAGGAATTGGGTGTGGCTGGGGATGGGAGGAAGCCTTTTCTTCCTGATTGGAGGACTTGCAAATGTGGTGAAGGTGTTCAAGATGCAACAAATGGTTGATGGACTGAGGCTCGAGAAACTTCGGGGAGGCGCGCAGGAGAGGCTTGTTCACGAAAGGGAAGGCCAGGTTCCGCTTATACTCGAAGATCAACGGAGGAGATCATCAGTTCGTCACGATGATGAACATCATTTACATCATGTAGAACCAAATCCAAACGTAGCTGCAGAACCAGCTCCTACTCCTTACAAAGACGTTCTTGTTGGCCCGACAAGTTGAATAAATTAACTTGATTGGTCTTGTGGTTAATTAAATCAAAGCTATATAATATGGTGTGCTGCAACAGCTGAATCAAGACACTATTAGAAAGTCACTAACAACTTATTAAGGGGCAGCCATTTGTACACTCGGAGTGAGTGATATTGTATTATATTTCGCGTTTAAGGAAGAACAAAAGGGATTTTGAGAAGCATAAGTTGCCTGCATACAAGGAAACGGTGTCCGGAAGCCACAGCTGCGAGTAAAACTCAAATGTCATAATATACGTTGTTTTGTATTATGTGATTTTTAGCCGTTAGATTTTAAGTCAAAGATGCAATGATCAAGATCTAATAATTAAAATTCTCAGAGTATAAGATATTCTAAAAACACTATAGAATTTTCGATATGAATGACTCAAATTTATTCATGTTTAATTACTTGCCATAAAAAGAAACGGGATACGAAGGATTAGGTATGGGTGAACAACCTTGCATCACAATCAAAACGGTTCGATTTAGGTCATAAACTAATAATATGATTCATAATTTTCTAGAATACTCTACAACGTCTTTTTAATTTCATTTATTCACACGCACGTAATATGTCTGCATTACATTATAGCAAGCAATTAAGAAAATATCATATATTTGCACGTGTCCTAGGACTCCGCTTGTTTAATAATACTTGGAGATAAAGCCCTTTCATATCATCAAAAGTGTTTCGTACTTGAAAATACTTTCGAAAGTAGCATTAGTGTTTTTAAGGAATACTTTTTGAAAGAAGCACTTGTGTTTTTTAAGAAATAAATATGATTTTATTTAAAATTTCGACGGGGTTTAAATAGTATAGACACTTTCTAGAAATGAAAAAACATTACCAAATGGGTTCGAAAATATTATTTTCGTTTATTGAAATGGGCTCGAAGCCCATTTTCATTTTTTCGACTCTCAATCTTCGAGGTTATATATCGACATTTCAATTTCTGCATATATCTTTCTTCCCCTGAAAACATAAACTTTGCTGTACTAATTTAAGCAGGTGGAAGAACCCTAATTTTGCTGACAATCCATCGAGGTTCTAGTTCCTGTTGCATTCTTCAGGTACCCAATTTCCCTCCTTTAATCCTTTCGATTGTTCGCAATTTCCATCTGTTAGTTTTGCTTCATTCGTCTCAAATTTTGCTGTTGCGTTTTTTTATTTTTCCCTCGCTACTCGCATGTATTTGCTATTGCTAGCTTAATTAGGATATTAGAATTATCATTTGCATTTTTTTTTTTGCATGTTTAATGGTTTGGATATATTGTGAATTGTTATAAACTAGGTAGAATTTTGAGGACATTGATGTTTTTCTCGTCCTGAAAATTTCGTTAATTTGATTTGCATATGCATTTACAAACGTTCACAATCAAATATACGCATTATTACATGCATAGTTACTGCCCATATGCATATATGTACATGTACGGATAGCTACCTAGCCTTTTAAAACATTCCAAATAATTGCCTGATGTTTTAAAAATTGGACATCTGTTAGGTCACCAGCGATAAGTGATGACGTGGACAAATATTGAAATGGGTTTTCACTCCCATGTCATTTATGGAGCTCTGAATATCCAAATCGGCCCCTTTACCCGATCAAATTAAGGGTTTAACTTGACTAAAGGAGTCGATTTGGGGAATCTAGAGCTCCATGACGTGAGAGTGAAATCATGTTTCGGTGTTTGTCCATGTCATCACTTAAGCTTGTGATGTAATCACTTAACGTTGGTGAGCTAATAGATGTCCAATTTGCAAAATGTTAGGTGGCATGAAGTGTTGTTTTTCGTTGTGTGTAGTTAAGATGAAGAGTAATGAGTTCATTTTCTTGTGACGGAGAATCTAATTGTGAAATGCGCCTGCGTGTGGTGGTCAGAAGGACTGATTATTTATCTGGTGTTGTTTTGTAGGTGACGGGTTGGTATACAGAATGGCTTCTGTGTCCAGTCAGCCACAGTTCCGGTACACTCAGCCACCATCTAAGGTGCTTCATTTGAGGAACTTGCCTTGGGAGTGTACAGAGGAGGAACTGATAGAACTGGGAAAGCCATTTGGTAAAGTTGTCAACACAAAGTGCAATGTTGGAGCAAACCGTAATCAGGCATTTATTGAATTTGTGAGTGTAATTTCAGTTTTTGGTTGTAGATCATTGTGCTTTTAATATAAGTTTGACTGATTAACATTTTCCTTTAATATTTCATGAACTTTTTAGGCAGATTTAAATCAAGCCATTGCGATGATATCATATTATGCATCATCTTCAGAACCCGCTCAAGTAAGGGGGAAAACTGTTTACCTACAGTACTCCAATAGGCAAGAAATAGTGAACAACAAAACAGCCGCAGATGTTGCAGGAAATGTACTGTTGGTAACAATTGAAGGTGCGGATGCACGCCTTGTCAGCATAGATATTTTACACCTGGTAAGCAATTTTGCCTGCTTCCATGTTATGGTTAAACAGGTAAACATTTCAGTACAAATATGTTGGCATTAAGGTATTGTGTTTGGGTTGTAAATCCTCTTGTTCTGGGGTGCTTTTGTTTGACATGAATGTGAATGGATCAGCAGGCCCATTTCAAGAGAAAATCTTCAATGGCAGCTTAGTGCATCGGGAGAAAGAGCACATGAGTGTTTGTCTCCTTTCTCCTTCTCTTAACACTGCCTCTTTCTTCCCTACTCTTCCTCCTCATGATCCTAATCCTACCACTCTAATAGCGTGGAATGCTTTCATTTCTTCTCTTGTGCACTGTGCATATCCCCCTTTTTTTTATTTATACATGCTCCTTTTGTAGAATTTGTTTCTTTTGCTTTGTTTCGTCAGCATGATTGTCTCACACTTTTATGTTATAGTATGTCTCAAATGTTTAATTGCACCCCAAGTGTAAATTTAGGAGCATGTTATACAAAAACTGGCTATATGCCTTAACGACGTCAATTAAAAGGTTAATGACATCGCTCTTCTTCTCCTTAACCAAACTGGAATTTCGTGGCCCCATAGTTCTGTAGACCATTCCTAAGTTACAAAGTTCTGTTATATTTTGTAGATAGGATAATGATTTTCAAATATGTTAGTTGAAAGATTAAGAATACTCCCTAAAAATAAAATTAATGTCGCTTTTGTTTTTTAGTAGGCTATCAAAGAAGTTTTGCCTATAAAGAAAAGAATAATAATTGTAAGCTTTTTAAAGTTGGGAGAAAAAAAATTTGCTTACCACATTATGAATAAGTTTCTAATCATCTTATTTTTTCACCCCCAATTGGAAGTGTTCATTGAATATTTTAGGAATATTTTTCATCAATTTATTTTGATTTCTATAATTTTATTGAGCGGGAATACATCACATTAAACACGATACAATTGTGGGGCGCCCTGGTGTTAGTTGAATTCATATTAAAAGATTTAGTTAATATATTATCCTTTAGTTTCCTGTATCTTTTCTGTTATTTTGTTGCTTTCATTTTTTATGGTTCATATGTTAAGCTGTTTTTGAAGATAGTATAATCTGTTTCTTAGATGTTTTACAGTACCTTGAAAATGAAATGTGTGTTATTTATTAATTGACGATAATTTTTCAAGGGCTTATCCCTGAAAGTTTGTTTTAAAGTGTATTTCCCTATATATATTTTTCTGAATATTATTCTAGTGATGCAGGTATTTTCAGCTTTTGGGTTTGTGCACAAGATAACTACATTTGAGAAGACTGCGGGATTCCAGGTCTATACGAGTTAATTTTCTTTTAAATTTCTAACCGGCTTCCCATTTCCCTCTCTATCTATCTCATTTTGTATTCTTCTTTTCAGGCGCTGGTGCAATTTTCAGATGCAGAAACTGCCACTTCTGCCAAAACTGCACTGGATTCAAGAATCATCCCTAGGTGACAGTTGTGTTAGTTGTTTTACGTGGTATCAAGTATGAGATTCTAAAATGGTTCACACGTATATGATCTAGTTACCTGTTGGCTATTAGACACCCTGTAGGGCACAACTGTTATGTCGGAAAACAGATTTTTGAACTTTTGGGCGTGTTCTAGTGCTATAATCTCTATTAGTTGGTTGTCATAAATGTTGCTTTTAGATGATATTCGGCGATAATGGCTCATTTCTGCCTGTATTCTTTCTAATTTGTGTTGGCCATGTTTCATTTGGTACAGGTATCTGCTCCCCGAGTATGTGGGACCATGTACTCTCAGGATAACATATTCTGGGCACACTGATTTGAGTGTGAAATTTCAAAGTCACCGAAGCAGGTATTCACGTTTGTCTTTTGTTTTTCCTGTTACTTGGAAATAATACCTAATTTTATGTTGCACCCTCCTACATTGTTTCCTTTTCTTGTAATTATTTATAAAATAATAAATGTTTTCTATTATTTGGACTGTCTTTATCTCATGTTGGTGGCCACTTTTCTCACTTTAACCGTTTTTCTGATTCAGGGACTACACTAATCCTACCCTTCCGGTTGCTCCATCAGCCATAGATGGAAGTGGTCAGGTAATGCATTGATAGGGGGAAAATTTCTTATTAGATTATATCATGAGGCAGGCATACATTTCTGTACGAAGGCCCTTATTCATAGAGTATCCATTTCGCAACCTTGGCATGCATGTCACATAAAAAAGTTTTATATATTTACGAGGCGTTTTTGGTACATATTTATAAATTGAGGAAAGGAAGAATTAAATTCGACTGCTGGTGCTTCTTTCTAGGAAATACTTGAGACTAGTTCAAAATTGTGGTGTAAACTTGTATCTTGGGGCATGTTATATCGTACCGCTATTAATAGAGTTCACTGTTTAATCAATACAGCCAATTGTGGGATTAGATGGGAAAAAGCTAGAATCGGAGAGTAATGTGCTTCTTGCATCCATCGAAAACATGCAGTATGCTGTCACCTTGGACGTTTTACACATGGTATATCAGATTAATTTATAAATATGATTTTATTTTTTAACCATGTGGATTCAGTCAGAAACTGATATTTTCCTTTTCCTGCCACTAGGTCTTTTGTGCTTTCGGGCCTATTCAAAAGATCGCCATGTTTGATAAGAACGGAGGGGTTCAGGCTTTGATTCAGTATCCAGGTACCTTTCTACTTACTCTCTTTCATGGTTTTCAAAACTGGAAAGTAAGGGTTTGGTCTGACCTGATTAATTGGGAACCAGCCAGCTGACATGTCTATGGTTGAACCTAAGCCTTACGGAGTTTGATTCTTGAACCTAGGGCTTACTGACTTTGATTGAACCACCTTAGCCTTGCTGGTTGAATGTTATTTTGTTATTACCGTTGTACACGGGTGCTGCTTTTTACAATTCCTGTTGAAGTAACTGCTAATTTTACACGGTGCTAATTGTGTTATGGCTTTCAGATGTTCAGACAGCTGTTGTTGCCAAGGAAGCCTTAGAAGGGCATTGCATTTACGATGGAGGGTTTTGCAAGCTCCACATCTCATATTCACGCCATACCGATCTTAGCATAAAGGTAACCTAAATATACATACTCCCTCAAGTTCTCTCCTGGACTAGTCATTTGCCCTTCTCTTTGGTGTTCATATTTGTTTTTAAACCTCGCCATGAGATCGGCGGACAAGCTGCGCCTAATGTTCTGCGCCTACCATGCTGATTACAGGTGAACAATGACCGGAGCAGAGACTATACGATCCCTACCATTCCAATTGTGACCGCACAACCGTCAATTCTAGGACAACAGCCAGTTCATCAGATGAGTCCCGCGGTGCCTCCATACAACGGGGCTCAATATGCTCCAACTGATCAGGCTGTCATGCCTCAGCCTTCTGCAGGGTGGGGACCAACCGTTCCGGCAGTTCCTCCGTCCATGCCCATTCAGATGCATAATCAACCGTACATGCCACCGGGAACTATGCCTGTATCTTCTACTCAAATGGGCCCTGTGATGATGCAGAGCGGTCCGCCGCCTCCGCCCTACCACCGTGGTCATGTGCAATGACGTGACTCTTAAGGAAATTCGCTGTTAAGTCTAGTAGAAATTACATTTCCCAGTTGAAGTTGTTCTCAATTGGAAAAAGATCCATAACCAGATTTCAATTTATCTTGATTATTCGTTTTCGGTTTTTCGAGTTTGTCTTGGTTTTTTCATGTTTCATACGATCATAACACAATTTTCTGGGTGGTGGTTTTTCAAACATAAACGTAAGCATATTCGGGAGGAATTGTTCTGATTCCGACAAGCTGCTGCTGCCACCGCCGCAATGGTTTCCACCTTCGTACCATTGTTAGAGAAGAGAAGCAAGAGAGGTTAAGAAAAGCAAGAAGCAGAAGCTGAAAGCATCCAAAAGCAGTGTACAGACAGACGCCGTCTCTCGGCACATGTATACACGATCAAAATCGCATCACCGAAACAGAACCCGTAAATTCACACACAACCTAGTCCCTTTCTTTCTTCCTGTACTTTTCATTCGCGAAAGGGTTACAGAAACCTTTACCACAGCTGCGGTTCTTACGATCCTACAAACAGGAAGTTTTAACAATTTAATTTTCTACCAACGGAAAACAAGGCAAGCAAAAATATGAGCGCGTTTTGTGTGTGTGAAATGGAAGTGTACAACTGCCTGTCCGTCTCCCAAACCTCCGAGTTACGAAAGCCTCGGAAGCTTCATCCATGGCAGTCTCTCCCGCCTCCACCATGTGTTATCGGTTCCAATTTTCAGAGCCGATCAATTGGCTCAGTTCGGTCCTGTACCGCAAGTCGCTCTGAGACGTCTGAAAGTGATTTGAGATTGCACTGGATCAAGGCTTCGACAAAGTAGCAGGTTTCATCCTTGGTGTTCCCTTCAGGAATGTCAACTACAAATGACTCGATCACCAGAGTCCCCGGTCTTCCGTCAATGATCTCTGGATGGAGGGAGATGATTGAAGAGTAGTTCTGAGGAAAAAATAATAAGAACAAGTTAAGTATACACAGGCTGGTTGCATAATAGCAGAACAAACGGATCCACCAAAAAAACAAGGGCTCCACATTTTTCGTTCACAAGATCCACTCACTGATCCAGAAATTATATGAGGATCAGTTTTCGGTTCAGAGGCTTGTATACAGGCCTACTGTAGTCAACAGGGCAGCGCCCCGTTGCTGCTTAGTGCAGATAGCATGAGAGTTTTATGGTTAACCCTAAGGATTGATATATGTGTAATTGTTCGTATATATTTCACATTATCAGTCAGATTCAAGTCAATAAGATCATCCAAATTCAACCATATATATGCCATGAAGTACCAATATTAAACTTAGAGACCGATGCCATCAACACCGTAAATTTAAATTTTAAGCAGCCAAAGCTGAAACCTGTTTCAGGAAATCTTTTACTGTTTCCATTAAATTTTGATGTGATCAAGTTCAATGGGCCCAAAAACTTCAGACTAATATGCAAAGACTCCGGTGAACACAGAACTTCATATCAAAATCTTGTGAACTAGTTAACCTTTTAGCTTGTATGCTGAGAAATGTGCAACGAAATAAAAGGAAAAGAGAAGTATGTGCTGAATTATAAAAGGAAAGGGTCTTCATACCCTAAGTCTGTGATCCCCACCAATTATTTTAATGCTAAGAATATGCTCGTCATCGTCAAGAAGTTCCAATCTTTCAGTACTTGTAGTGGCAGGAAGCCCAGACTTAACATCAACTTCTCTGAGACTTCCAATCTCAAGGTTCCCCTGCACCACACACCTGCTGACGAATGGCTTATACTTTTGCGGTTGATCAAATCGTCTAACCAACGACCAAACCTGAAGAGAAACAAAACAATTCACATTACTAAAAAGGGATAACTGTTCATACTCATTGAGAATCTCTCTCAAACACACCTTAATCTTCCATTTTGTTGGAAACAAGGAATAAGAAACAATCGAACATTTAAAAAAAAAGCCGTAATTACATTTCTGAGCTATCGAACAATTGAACAAAAAACAATCCCAGAAAAGCAATCAAAATTTCCTTTCTTTTTTCTATTTCTCCCCAATTTTCTTAACAACTACACACGCAGAGACACCGTGAGTAAAGAGCTACAATGATCTAATCGATCAACACACCACATCAATGTAGGCAAAAACATTAAGGAATCCAATACAAACTCCACAGATTAAAGCTCAGATGCTCTCCAGAAATGCGATCACACATGTCCTAAGGAAAACGAACAAAACTTTATAGAGCAAAAACAATCCGAAATGTCGAATCCCGGTAACCCCATTTTCACAAACTGATGCCACAACTCCTACATTAAACTCCAAATCCAATAGTAACATGAACACCCACCTACCTATTTGTGACATGCATGATATTTACATCTCCAATAGACAAATCCCAGATCAAAACTAATCAAATACACACACACACACACACACACACACACACATACAGAGAGAGAGAGAGAGAGAGATGTACAAGATGGACAGGGGCTTTGATGTGCCGGACGAGAGTAGATGTACACTGACGGTCGTTAAGGTCGTGCCTGTGGTGCCTCCGAATGTAGTCGCTCACTATCCCGCCAAACCCCCCTCCTCCTCCGCCGCCTCCTCCGCCCCCTCCGCCTCCATTCTTATTCCCATTCATCATCTTCCTCTAAACCAATCAAACACTTTCGATTAAAACCAACAAAAATAAATCACCTTTCTCAATAAACCAACCAACCAAACATTCACAAACTCACCTACGCAAACGCAGCCTTATCTTCCACCTTTCCGTCTACAAAACCAATACCGATTGAGAGAAAGAGAGAGAGAGAGAGAGTCAACCCGGTTCGACTCGGTGGGACTCGGTGGGACTCGGTCAAAGACTGGGAGTGTGAAGGGAAGAAGTTAGGTAGCTGGTGAAAGAGAAGGGTAAGAGAGTCACCGCCATAGATAAACAAGAAGCGCCTCAGGCCTCCCTATCATCCTCATAACCAATCCCACCCCTTTTTAATAAATCAATACCGGAGTTTTAATGAAAAGTATATGGTACTATTTATTTTAACGAAAATTTATATTTTTACATTCAAAAGCTAATTCTAGTATTATTCACTTTACCTTTTATTTTGTTCTTATCGTTAAAACTTAAAGTTTTCAAGTCTTTTTCATTAATTTTTCTTACTTTAAAACCCCCAACCAAAAAAAATAATTTCCAATTTTAATTAATTAAAATAAATTTGCAATTACTTTTGTCTGTTAATGCAATTTGCATTAGATTATACTTTTCTTGTCTTGCAAGGAAAATTTTTAGGTGTTCCGGGTACACCAAAAAATTTTGGTGTACCCACACTCATTAAAATTTGATTTTATTATTTTATTGAAAAAAAAGTGAGGGTAGGGTCCACCATTATGAGTGAGGGTACACCAAAATTTTTTGGTGTACCCGGAACACCCAAAAATTTCTCGTCTTGCAAATGCCCTCTCTTTTCGGGGGTATGATTATTTCCCTTTTTATTCTCATCCCGCTATCCCTTCTTTTTACATATTATTTTTTATCTTATTATTTCTATAAAAAAAATTAATATAAGATGTCATCACTTCTTTTTGATGGTAACTGTGAACATGCCATCACTTCTTGTCTGGTTTTGAGGATTTTGTTTTTCTTTGACTTAATTGTCCTTCAAGGTTGCTTCATTTACGCTTACGATCTACTTAGACTCTTGCGTAAGGGTTTGGGTATGGCAACTTGACCAACTAGATGGTTTAACTTATGAGCTTTTTCGGATTTGGATACTATCCAGCCCCGGATGGACACAACTCATCCTGTAAATGGTTTGACTCCCCATCTCTGGTGAGTGCGGCCTTCAACTGGGTCAAGTTCCTCTTACTAAGGTTTATCTCCTCACGATGTTATATTGGTTCTAAATACATATAGCTGATCACGTATTATTATGTGTTTAATTTCCTCGTGTGACAATACTTAATTGACTTAATGATAACATCTTAAATGTAGGTTAAGTCATTCTCTAATTGTTGCGGTTTTTGTCGCTAATTGATGAAGCAATCTTTAAGAGAATTCCGCTATTGAGCTTATGTCGTTAGTTATTGTCCTAATACCAATTAGTTATTAATCTAGTTATATACTTCTCTTACCAGTACTGAGAGAGGCTCTAGATCCATTTTCTCTCACCCGTCTGATTATAAGAGGTATTGTCCGAAAACTCCCAAACTCAATTTGAGACGTGCTTCACAGGCCACCGTAATTTGTAGACCATGCCAAGGGCACAATAGTATTTTACAAAAACTCCCAATTCAATTTATCTTAAGCTACATGAACTATTTAATTTGATAATTAATTAAAGGTCATTTACTTGTTTATTTCTTACAATAAATAATGTATATTGTTTAGTTTACGTTCTGGTGCTCTATGTCCTAAATAGTCAGGGTCACATGGCCTTCAATGAATGATGGATAACAGCTAATGGTCCTATGTACTAAACCATATATTTTATATTGTAATCCAACCAAGACCATTAATCTGAAATTTAATAAACAACGCAATGTTCATTGCACTTACAAAAGAACCGAATAATACATTAGAAAATTTTGAATGCATAAACGTTTTCAATTACTTGAACTACAAATTCGTTAATTTATCGGATATAAACGTTACTGCACCTACAAAATGAGTTAACATTGACTTCGAAATAATATTATTTTCGTTTTGTTTTCTTGAGTAATTGAAACTCAACTAAAGACTTGAAAGTCAAGGCACCCTTAAGAGTAGTATTAACTCTTAATTTTTTTTCCAAGTAGTATTAACTCTTTATTACTTGCATAAGTTTTTTGAGAAATGCTAAGGATATTCTCTTAAAAGTTGAACTTTTTAAGCACTTTTTGTCGCCTCACAATTTTACGTCAATTATGTGCCAACATTATAAAATATTGTGACAAAAACATGAGGTGACAGAGAATCCATGAAGAGTCCCATTTTGAAAAAGTCTCTTACAATTTCTCAAGTTTTGTTTAATTGGTTATTTCTTTATTATTTGAGAAATGCTAAGCGGTCTCTTTCAAAAATGGAACTCTCTACGGACTCTCTAACACTTTATAATTTAACGTAAATTTCCTTACTAACATTATAATGTAAAAAACAAAAGGCTGCAGAGAATTCATAAAGAGTTTGACTTCCATGAGAATCCCCTTAACATTTTTCTTGTTACATTTATCTTTATGTCTCGAATCTTGTCTATTATCGTTATTTGTTGATAAATGAGATGGGTCTTGCAGGCTCGAAGGCAGTCGTCCAATTCTGATTAGCATATGCTCAGCCAATGACTTCGTGCCCCTCCTTAACTTTTGAAACCTTCTCCGTCGTTGACTCCTTGCTCCGGCTTGGGGTCGGCGGCAACCCAATGCCCATCCCTCCTTGCCCTCCTCCCTTTTCCCCTTTCTTCTACCCTCTGATTCCTCCTTTTCTCCCTTTTTTTTCACCCTCCTCTGTCTTCCATTTTCTTCAACCTTCTATCACCTTCATATCTTCCCTTCTTTCCCTCCGTTTTCCCCTTACCTCCCCATTCCCCCATCCTTGCTCTACTTCATCCAGTTTTTCTCTTCTCCAAACCACCATGGTTGGTGATTTGGATTTACTTTTTATGCATTTAGCTTTCAGCTTTTTTCTCTCAGAGTATTTTGTATCTCATGTCACTCTGAGCTTGGTCTCAGTTGTCCCTGGGTTTATCTTAGATCTGACTTCTATACCTTGCTCCTCTCCAAATATCTCTCCTCAATGTGAATTTACAACCATCTACCCTTACTGCTCGTTTCATTAGGTGTCTCTTCCTAGGCTATCCTTTGGAGGTGCACTTTGGTGACTCGTAGCATTTAAAGTGCATTTTGCACTATTTAGTAGGATTATGGGAGCGCTCTCAACGCGGGTAGCTTGCCTACCCCTATTTTCGGTTCATCCATTAGGTTCTTCGGCCTCTCTTCTAGGTGATGGTGATGGATCTACGGTGGCGGTGGTGCTGTTTTGGTGGAGGTGGCTGCTTTACATTTTCATGTCTAGGCTTTTCTGGGTTTTCTTGTATGGAGTTGAGCTTTTGCTTGGCTTCTCTGGACTCTCTTTTTGAGATGTCCTTACCTTGTACTAGATTTCTCTCTTAATGAAATTTATTTTTATTGACTAAAAAAAAATAAAAAAAAACTAATGAAAAAGGCTTGAAAACTTTGAATTTTAACCATAAGGATAAAATAAAGGGTAAATGAATAGCACTAAGATTGACTTTTTAGTGTAAAAATATGATTTTTCATTAAAATAAATAGTACCAGGAATTTTTTGTTAAAATTCCTTAAAAAAAATTTCGATTGGCATAAATGCACGTGGGGATTCAAAGCACGCGCAGCCTTAGGTCTCTGGCTGGAAACGGCAAAGCGCGAAGGAAGAGCATGTCTCAAACAAGATTCGAGAGTGCAGAACACGCGCTAGAAAAATAGCGTGGGGTTGTGTAGAGGGGAGAAGGTCAGCTGCTGCATCCCCTGCACGTGCACGTGAGGATAAAAAAATGCCGGGTCATGGGTTGTAATTTAATTGAAGAAATTAAGATGGGTCATGGATCAGACCAGAAAAATTAAATATGAGTCATGGGTTGTGCATGAAGTGAAGAACCATTAAATTTAGAAAAACTTTAATGAAAAATTTTCGATATTGTTTACTTTAACAAAAAAAATCATATTTTTACACTAAAAAGTCAATTCTAGTACTATTCACTTTACCTTTTATTTTGTCCTTATCGTTAAAACTCAAAATTTTCAAATCATTTTCATTAGTTTTTCATTAAATTTAATTGTAATAAATTTGACTGTCTGGATTTTTTAGGCTTTTTGTGCACATTTAAGTTACACATCTAAATTAGAATCGTTAAATCCTGTTTGGTTAAATTGTTTAACGATTTTTGTTCATTTGTGTAATTTTTTTTTTTTTTTAAAGCCGGACAACTGATGGCAAGTCACAGTTATCCAACCCTAACAGGGGCTTGGAAGACTCACAGAGACATTTCAATCTTCCCCTGATCTCATTCAAGTAGACTTACTAACTTGAAACTTCAAACCCGGAACCTTCTTGTTTTTTGTATTTGTGTAATATTAAATATGCAATTTTGGTGTGCACTAGATAAAATTCACTTGATTCTTGGGTTTATACCATTGTGGCTTATATCTTTGTATTCCACCAACCATTGTCGGTAGAAACTAAAACGACCTCATCTGACCTTTTTGAAATTAAGTTCACTCTTATTTGATCTTAATTAATTTTTCTTAAGAAAATGACATGACATAAAATGGTAAACCAATCAACCAAAACGTATACATGCAAGAGCATTAAGTAGCATTTGATTTAGGTGTAGATGTCAAATTCAGCTCATAGAGACAAGACACCGAATTGTGTCTTGTGGTGATTTTGATGCCTGACAGCTATTTCGCTACCTTCATTGTAATGAGGAAAAACTTGCATGAAATAAGAACGTGAATTTATTTTTTTAGATTTATTATTATTAAAGGAATAGGGAAGGATTCAAAACTATTAAAATAAGTTAGAGAAAGGGAAAGTTTCGAACTCGAGATAAATGGGTAAAAACCTAACATCCTGTCCACTAGAATTTTGGACCAGACTATTATTATTAAGAACGTCAACTGTATGATAGTGCTCCAAACTATTCATGTGTCTATATTGTAAATGTTAAAATGTTAAAAGAGATCATTTTTTCGAACCATATATAGTACAACTATGATGCGATGTGACACCATTATTGCGATGGTGCAACTACATTGCAACTCAATTTTTAATGGCCTAAAGAAGAAATTCAACCTTTAACAGCCAAATATGGTCTAAAAAGATGATTGAGACCTTATCAGCTTTTATGGAAAAATTAATATCCGGTTCCCAGTTTTTAATGTTCATTGATTGAGA